AGGCTGGCCCTGCCCCACCCCGACCCCCAGTGGGTAAGCATCTGCTGGGCCAGAGTTTATCAAGCACTTGCTGAATGCAAGGTCTCGAAGCCAGGATTAATTTTCTACTGAATGCAAAGCCATGAGCCAGCGTTTACTGAGCACCTACTGAGTGCAAAGACTCATCAAGCTGGGACCCCCAAGGGAGACACCAAGAGGGATTTGGGGGGGTGGCCTGAGGGACACACTGTCCTTTAACGTGCACTGGGACAGGGCAAAGGAGACGTAACTCCCTTACACCAGAGGTGAGGTGAGCACGGGCAGGGGCCACAGTCCTCACTATGCAAGTAGCACCGTGGAACAAACGCAAGGCCAAGTGCCAGGGCCGAGCCTGGTGGCTCTGGGGGTGCGTGAGGGGCTGCCCACCTTGTACTTCTGCCTGTGCCAGCACAGAAACACCTTCTCCTTGAACTGCCAGTGGTAGGAGCGGCTGTTGGCCTTTACATCCCAGGTGAACGCTGCGGCGAGAGCAGAGCACGGTGTCGCTGGAGTGCCAGGCCCAGGACAAACACCTCTAACGACACCCCGGGGGAGGACTTGCGGAGCCCGGGGGACCCAGGCGCTGGGGACGCCCAGCTCGTGGCCAGAGATGCGAGCCTGTAAACAAACAGGAGGGGCCTGCCCGGCCGCTGCATGTAGTAGGTGGATCTGAAGACACCCCTTTCCCCAGCTGTCGGCCAGTCCCCGGACGCAGAGGACAGGTCCTGCGAGACCCACTGAGGTCCACTTGTTTTGCAGATAGGGTGAATTGAGGCCCGGTGATGGGCTCTGGGGCGACCAAGGCCACACACACGGCCTGGACAGCCCCCGTATCCCGACCACTTGTAACCACGTGGGAACCCCAGGCAAGGCCCCTCATGAGGGTTTGGGGGTGGCCTCCCCGTCCCCTCCCTCCTCCCTCCCACCCACGTCCCACCCTCAGCCCGAGACGTGCACCTGTGTTCTCGTTAGCATCTTGGAGATCTTCTGGGTAGGTAAGACCGCCCATGCTGGTGGGGCTGCCGGTGGGGAGAGGGACCCCGGGTCACACGGGTAGCCCCAGACCTGGCCAGAGGGACGCCGTCCACTCATGGCCTGGGGGTCAACCCTGGCAAATGTCACTTCCCACGACTGCCCTCTGCCTCCTCCCTGGGCTTGGAAGGTCCAGCAACTGGCTGTGTGTCCTGCCCTGCCCGGACACCCTCAGTCACAGGGGTCCCGAGCTGATCCCCAAACCTGCAGCAGTGCTGGACACGCCAACCTCCGGCCACTGCTCCCACTGCCCACCTCAGCCTGGTTTCACTGCAGCCCTCCCGCCCTCCGCCCCACCAGTACCCGGTTTGTTGAGTGAATGAGCCCTGGGGTGAGATGTTATCTGAGGGGCAAGCTGCTCTGACAGGTCTGAGTGTGGCCTCCCAGCTGCTGGGGGCAGGGGACTGTGACCCAGGAGGGAACCTTCTCCACTAACAGGTTCAGGAATTTGAGTCCACCTCTGCAGCAAGGGAGCCCTGGGCAGCTCCCCTGCGCGCCCAGCCAGCACCCCAACAGCGCCCTCCTGGCCAGGGCCCCGCCCAGGCTGTTCCCTCTGCATGGCCATGTCCTCACCCTTCGGGTCTCAGTTCATACTTCCCAGCCCGGACAGGCTGGGCCTTGCACCGCCGCTGGGCGCCCCTCCTGACCCCGATGTCCCCCATCCCAGCTCCAGAGGCCTCCGCTCCTCTACCTCTCTCCGTCTGGTCGCCTACCGAAGCCGAGCGCCTGGAGCGGGTGTCTGAGTCATCGGTGTCCCCGGGGCCCGACGGGGCAGGACTGGCCCTGGCCTCTGGGAGGCTGGCCGGGGCCCACGCCCATTCGGCAGATGAGGGAAACCGAGGCTCGTCGGCGGGAAGGGCGGGGTCGCGCTGTGGTGGGGAGCTGGGACGGGCGTCCGGGGCAGAGACAGCCGCGGTGCTCGCCTCTGTCCCGCCCCCGCTGGTCCGACCAGAACCCCCTTCGCGGAGGCCCCGGGCGCCCCTCACCCTCCCGGGCCCAACCGCGCGAACCTCAAGGGGGCGCTCTCTCCGCCACCGCTGCGACCCCGCAGCCCTCAGCCAGGGCGGAGCCCAGAGACGGTGCGCGGGCGCCCGGGGACGCACAGCAGTGGGGCGCCCCCGCTCACCTGAGCGGGCTGGGGCGGACGGGGCCGGGCTCCCTGGGGCGGGCCCCGGGAGTCCAGGGCGGCGGGCTTGGTGCCCACCGCCTTTGAACGCGCGGCTCGGCCTGGGGGAGGGGCAGGGCCGGGGCGGGGCCAGGGCGGAAGGCGGGACCAGAGCCTGCAGAACGGGCCGGGGGGCGGGGCCATGGTAGGGGCGGGGCCCAGTGGGGCAGGACGGGGCCGAGGCAGGGGCGGGTC